GAAAACTTTCATATTGTCTTATTAAATTTATCTTCCTCGATTCTTGTACTTCAGAAGTATCTTCATATTGAACACAAAGAGTGTCCCACATGGTTTTTGAGGTTTTTAACTTCATAACGGAGTGATAAACCTTGTTAGGAAGAGACATGGCTATTATAGATCTAGCTCGAGTATCTAAAGTCATTTTCTTCTTGTCTTTGTCACTCCATTGATGAGGTAGTTTTGGAATCTGCCTTTCAAGAATGGCGGCAGTCGTAGCAGTAGCAGGAACTGCTGGAGAAATTGCAAATGGAAATTTCAATATAGTATGGAATCTCAGGATCCACTCCTTTTAAGAAGAGAGACATTCGGTTCTTCTAGAGATTGAAGTTGTCTCTGACGAATCGTAGAGATGTGGCAAGAGAGCCATTATCGTGTAAGTTTGTGTTTGTTCTTTGCAATGCCATTAGAATGGTAAATAAATTATCTAGAAAGAATAGATAATAAAAGATTGATAGACATTAAAACAAACACTGCTCTGATACCATTTGTTGGTCCTAGCCGGATCTACAAGAGTTTAAAGGTAACAGTTTGTAGAAAGGGGAATGAATACAAACACAACAACTTTCACTTTTAAAATCTTTATTGATAAAGAAGATCAATACAAAATTTTACAGATTGTTTGCAAAAAAGATAAGATACAGAACTTACCTAAGCAATCAAATAAAACACACAAGATACATAAATCAAGAAAGATAAGACTTGCTAAAAGAAAAGGTTAAGAAGTCTTGTTCTCTTCACTGGTTAGAGTGGTTTAGAGGGAGATGGGGAGACACTGAGAAGGAAGAACTTCTCAGCTATTTATACTCATTGGATTAAATACAAATCAGATGGTACAAAGCACGTGGCAAGTTTCTAGAGGTGAGTTTTTCCTTTGTTGCAGATATACAATCTTTTAACGTATATGAACAATAGTCTTTCGCAAAGTAGGTAAGCACGCTTGGAGAAAATAAAGTGACTCCGTACTGTACTTTACTTTGAGAGGTATGGGTTTGTCCTTTGTATGTAGAAGGACATGACAAAAACTAATCTTATTCAACAAGATTCATTTATCGCTGACACTGAATAACGTCGAGGTTTCTTTAGTGTTCGCTGAATCTTGAGTAGATTTCACAGTTGTGTACATAGGTTTGTTATCATTGAAAACTGCATCAGATCACGAACTTGTTTGTCTCTATCTTCGGCTTTATCTTTGATATCACTGAAGGTTCTGTGGTGTGAGTTTTGTCTTCTTGAAGAATACTTGTCTCTGAGAGAATTACAATACATGTTCAACGATCACTAGACAGACTCGGTGATGATCGCTGAAGCTGAATAAAGAGATAGTACACTTCGTAAAATAAAAATGATCATCATCAAATCACTGAGAGAGAGGATCAACAAGAGGTCGCCTCATCAATCCAGTCATGAGTCTCGACTATGAGACTCTTACCTTTTCTCTCTTGTACTTTGCCTTGTACTTTTCATGAGATGATCGGCTGGTGGGTTAAGAGGGATGATGCTTGGAGATCTTATTGCTTTTGCACTCAACAGCAAAATGACCTTTCTTACCATAGTTGAAGCATTCCTTATTGGACTCGTCAAGAGGAGCTAACTTAAATTAATCTAAGGTTCTTCGGTTGGTGACCTTAGATCTAGGAGAGAACTTAGAAAAACCCTTTTTGACATACCTTTTGAAGTTGGTAGCCATTATATGTTGTCAACCAAGTCATCAACTGTGGGTCCATCACCTTCATCATCAACATCACCCACATAGTTTTCAACAATTTCTTCTTTTCAAAAACTTCTTCATCAGAGTCAGTCAGATAAGTGATATGAGATTCACTCACAAACTTCCTAGTGGCATTGCAAAGAAGAGCAACAAGAGTACTTTTAGGATCCTTTAAGAATGTATTTTTCTGAATCTTGACCTACTCAGAATTATGGAGAGTTCCATAAAGAGCAGTAAGAGACATGTAGTCAAGATCTTTGGTTGTCTTGATACAAGTGCAGATGTTTTCCCAGAAATCTGGTAAACAGTCCATGAATTTACAACAAACTTCCTCATTGTCATAGACTCTGCCATGAAGCTTTAGATCATTGAGGATATTGTTAAACCTATTGTAGTACTTAGTGATTAATTCACCTTTCCCATACACAAAAAGCTCATATTGCCTGACGAGGCCAATCTTCTTACTTTTTTTACTTCAATGGTTCCTTCATATAGAACACAGAGGGTGTTCCACATATCCTTAGCAGTAGTGAGATTCACCAAGGAGTGGTAAATATCATCAAGGAGAGACAATGCAATGATAGTTCTTACTTTGGTATCCAAGGAAACTTTCCTTTTGTCATCTTCATTGTACTACTTAGGATCTTTGATGATGAACCTTCCATTAGAATCAAACTTATCTTCGTCATCGTCAGAATCATTTGAAGAGTCACATTCATCTTTGTTCTTTCTATGACGAAGCCAGACTTTTGGAACAATAGGGCCATACGAATTTTCCATAGAGGAAAGTTGTTCTTGTTGAACTTTGGAGACTTGGCAAAAGTGTCATTGTCATGGTATGAAGATTGAGCGGGGTTGGTAGAAGAAGAGGTCAATGCAGATCTAGCTTAGGAGATTAAGCTACCTGCTCTGATACCACTTTTTTGGTCCCAAATGGGATGACAATAAACAGAAAGTAATTATAGAAGGGAAGGTTGAATACAATTACACCGACTTTTTTTAACTTTTTAATTCTTATTGATGTATATCAAGAATTAACACATAGAGATACAATACAGATTGTTGTGGAAGAAGGAAAGGATAACCTGACCTAAACAATCTTACATAAAGAAGAACTTACAAGAACAACATAGAGTACTTGTAAGCAAATGAAGAACACTAATTTTTCTTCACACACAGAAGAGCAGGAGAGTAATAGAAGAGAGTCGATTGCCATGAGAATGCACTTTGAAACTCTTTCATGGAAGTGTAGTTTGCATATGCACTCTACCTTTTATACTACACTCATACATTAAATTCATGGGGACACTAGTTACCTTAGAGGAGGCAGAGGTTGACTTGACCATAGTTGATATATCATTTTCATCGTACTTTGCATGCACACGCCAATGTTCATGTAGAGACAAACCTACTGATAAGGAATGTCTTTATCATATACAAGTTTTCCAAATATATGATCAGTCTGTAGAGAGATCTTCTTTGGATATATTAGTGGCTTCAAATAGCAACTTGCAAATCTCAGTGCATGAAGATTTTCCTTCAATAGGCTAGTAGCTAGTTTGGACTCTTGGTGTGTAATTTAAACAGTTGATCCATAGTACCGCATCGGTGACTTTCTTTCTTCACATCAGCTAGTCTTCGATTTTGCCAAGGGCTTTAAGTATGTAGCAAGAAATCAATACACAAAGAAACCAATAACTAACATGTGTTGATAAGATAATGGGAGTGGGTCAATACCAAATCAATAGGTGACCCAACAATATAAATAGCCAAGAGGAGTCTTCCTCTTCAAGAGCTCTCACTTCTTATCTTCCTCTAATTTTTTCTACTTCTTATCTTTCTTTATGCATCTACTTAGTGTTTCTCACAGATTGTTTAGATTAGGTTTTTCCTTATCTTATTCCCCAACAATCTATAAATTCTATATTGATTTTCTTATATCAATTGATCTCAAGCAGCTGAGAAATCACTGACAAATAGACATGTCTCAGCATTTATCCTATGTAATGGTGTCCATCAACGGATGATTTGTGTTTTCAACAGATTAAAAAGAGAACAATACACTATCAACTACAAATGGTGTCTATCCAACAAAAGAAGACTTCATGTACCACAAGGTTACAAGGATAATAGGCACATTATTTAGCACAATTTCTTGATCCTGTATCAGAACCGATGGGTTTCAACCATGTAGCATGTATGTCCCACCCTTGTTGTAGTATAAATATTTGTCTTAGTGCAAAGAAATCGATGTAAAAACAAAGCTCAAAAGAAAACAACATTCAAGTATTGTGCTATTTCTTTGCCCTAGTTTATTAACAACTTAAAACCACTTGTTCTTAAAGTTCTCACAACACCAATTTTTACTTTGGGAAAATCCATCTTAGGTTGTGAGGTACTGTTGTAAGAGTGATTTGTTAACCCATCGGTTCTGATACAGGATAGATACTTGATAAGTGGTCAAACTTCTACAGTTCATTTGTTTTGGGACGAAGGGGATGGTATCTCTGTATTTACATAGAAAAGTTGTGTTTTTATATACGTAACTACTTCAAGAAGTATCTTATGAACAATTTTCTATACAACACTTGTTTTTATAAGACAATTTATTTATAAAAAAAATGTGATGGAGAAAATTTATTAGGACGGTTTATTTAAAAAATTGTCCTAAATTTTTTGTTGATATACGACAGTAAATAGTATGTTAGCAATAGTCAATATACGATAGTAAGCCACCAAGTTGTTAAGTATTTTATGTTATGCTTCTAGTAATAACTTTATAACTGATTGAATGGAAAAGCCAACTTGCAGTCGGTGTTTTTCAGACTTTCAAGAATATCAAAGATATGATTTGGTATGGGCAAGTTGCACATAAGTCGCACACTTCCAACTGTGTGAGTACACAGGTAGACGTCGTGTTCCTTGCACTATAAGGTGGAACCTTTTATCAGCAGCTTGCCGAATGTATTTTTGGCCTTTCAGTCATTATCCTAGATTCTGGTAGAGCCAGCTTTCAAACAAATACTAGGCTAAAAGTGCAGGTTTAAACACGCATTCTAGTTGAATCAAAAAAGGCAACAAAATATATGGTCTCCAATTTGCTGTTGGAAATAGAATTCATGATTCTCCTTTTCTATTGTTAATAGGATTCGTATCTGAGTTGATGCCTCATGTAATTTTATGCAACAATAGTTGAACATAGCATCCAAGAATCAGTAACCACCCCAACCATTTTAATATGAAATGTGATAAACACATTTACCAACTTTTAGTATTGATACAAGGCTCTGGATGATTTATGGTAGACTGCCTTATGACTTTACATTCAGCAAATGCCCACCAACAATAAGTAATAAAGTTTAGATTTATCTAATAGAGAGCTAGCAAAAGTAAGTAATAGAATTTCAGATGCCTATGAGTTTTGGTTAGTAAGTTCAACACAAACCTTCAACAACTTCGGAAGGATCCTCTGAATGTCCTACAAATGATATAAGCTTATTCCCTTCCCATGGTCTCTACATATACAACCAATTGATTAGACAACAAACTCAACTCAATTCAATTGAAGAAACAGATCTAGATACTGACCAAAGAATGCCCTGCACAAGGAGTAACTGCCGCTGGAGCCTCAAGAGTTTGCTTTAACATCAATCCTTAACCATATCCAATTTCGTAAATCAAGCGTCTGCAACAAACCCTCACTAAGTACACCTAACTATGCTGAATCAATAGCAAGAACAAAGAGGTAGTTTAAACAATTTTAACACAAAATTGAAGAGAGAACTAAGACATAACACCAAGTAGATAGAACAAAGGGACCGCTGTAACTTCTAGAAGTAGTTACGTATATATAAACACAACTTTTCTATGTAAATACAGAGATACCATCCCCTTCGTCCCAAAACAAATGAATTGTAGAAGTTTGACCACTTGTCAAGTATCTAAACTGCCCCTCGGTAAAGAAAAAAAATAGAGGAATCTTGTCAGCAAAATCAATGCCATTAGTATCTTGTAATGATGAGGTTATAATGCTGTGAAACTTTTTCAAAAAAAAAAGAACAATGTATTTATTTTGGGACAACCTAAAATAAAAACTGTTGCATTTATTTTTTTATCCACTTGGAGATGCGCATACATGGATATCATGGGTTGGAGATCCTAAAAAGTTCAAGGATGTGAGGTGTATCTACATATGTGTATGCATGTGTGTGTGCATAAAAGCATAAAACTTACAAGAAAGAAGTTATTTCATGATTCATGCATTAAATATATAAAACAAGTGCACATTAGTACCAGTTGTTATCATGGTATTGCTTTTGTAGAAAGTAGATGATTGTGTTGTCTTGTTTTTCCTCTTTTGCACTCATCAAATCTAGTTTATTTTCTATTTTAGCCTACATTTCCAATTTTGCGACTTGTAAACTTTCTAATCCCAATTTTCAGTCACATCATCAAAAAAGCTAACCCCGCCGCATCAGATGATTCAATTGGCCTTCCCCACTTCAGTCATCTTCATTTGCACTGAAGATTCAGTGGCTAACTCCCATTTCCCACCTACTCCAACCATTAGTCAATGTCAAACAATGGTCCACTGTGTGCAGCCACCAACCAGTCTCACCATTCACGTTGAAGGTCCTCCGCTCACCATCTTTTCGGCAATCATCCGAACCTCGTCACAACTGACGGTATCCTTTGTTTGACCATCCATTCTCTCCTATCGGTTGCCTAAATAGATGTCCAAACCAATTCACAACAAACAACCTCTAGTATTTCACCATAAGAGCAAAGAAAGTTGGACAATCTGGGAAAGTCTCATCCCAGGTTCATTGGAAGGTATGTTTTGTTGGTTCCAATTTTGGCCATTCAATATTTGGTGCTCATTTTCTTCAAGTGAGAAAGGTAGAATTTCTAAGGCAGCATAGGATCTCATCATCTTATCTCCAGTTAGGCTCATTTTAGTTCAATATCTTCGTTCATGTTACCGGGTGAGCTATTGTTTTTTCCCAATGGTGATTCACTTTGGTGTTCGATTGATTGGGACCCTGCACCCAAGGTTAGGATGTCAATTTAGTATTCATTTATTCAGTTGATTTTGTCTGGTTCAATAGGCTGTGCGCTTGTGTTACTAGCTTTATAATCTCCCATTAAGCATTTGGTAGAAAAGGCATGGATCACAAACATGTCCTAGAATTTGTTGCCGAAATTCCAATTTCAAGATAAGCAAGCAAGGGGATTTCGGATGTCAACATGTAGTTTTCAAGATTTGCTTAAAGCATTTGAAGCATCAAGATATTCTCAATAATCTAGTTGCATTTATTAGTGTTTAAAGATCAGTCTCATCTCAAAAGTGTAGTAGCAATGGACATCATTGTCTGTTTCGATTTGGAAAAGGAAAAATTCCTTCCTTTTAAGCCTTTATAACCATATGTAATCATCAATTGTGGATCTCTTTGTAATATCACCATCAGTATAAATCAACTTCTTCCCAAAAAATGAACAAGACTAATTGAGTGACTCATTCTCCTGCATCAATGCATAGAGTCCCATACCTGAAGATCATTTAAGTAACGTCCATTATGGTTTCCACCGAATATATACATTTTATCATCAACAACAGCTGCTGCATGCTGCCAATTTTAAAAGTATGCTCAGAAAAGGTAAAATAAGAAGAAAGAGCCAATCAACTAGAATGGGAACTGAAAGAAAATTAATACCTCATATCGGGGCTTTGGACGTGGACCAGAGACCGGAGGGGCAACCCATTGGTCATACACACCAACAGAACCAAGTCCTTCCACCATTACATCTTTGTCCTGAGTTTCCCCAGAATTCCCATTCTCGGAGGGGATGGTTTTCGTTTCAGGCAAAGCAACTTCACTCTTAGTGGGTAACCCGCCTTTGAATTATGCTACACCAGATGAAGAATATGAAAAGAGACTGGATTAGTTAATATTAGAGATGAGAATTACATTCACTACAAGAAAAAACATCCCCATGGTGTCTTAGCGCATCCTAACCTATAAGGTAGTAAGGCTCAGTTGTTTCATATTGAGCAATCATTTCTTTTCTCCTCCACACCCTCTCTCTACCGTGCAATGAAGGGTGGAATTCAGGTGATTTTAGTAAAGCAAGGAATTATTTGATCATTAAATAACCCAAATTCACACAGCAAGAGTAACCATATCCTATAGAGCAGATATTGACAAACCATAAACCAAACTGATCCAGTAAATCCCACTCAAAAGTAGGGTCCTGAAGGCATGAGATAGATGCAGATATGACATCTAGCCGAATAGGGTAGAGTGGTTGTTTCTGTGAAGACTGAAGACCCCCGGCTTATTCACAACCAAAACCTCTATGAATGGAAGGTGAAAAATGGCACCCGATGGTTCGATTTCATTGGGTTCTTTATATATCAAGATGTACCACAAAAAGAAAAATCATGACTCCAATAGAGAGAAACTAGGTGACTATTTGCATGATGCCACCATCTAATCAAATGGTTTATGGTAAGTTTCTTTTTCAGTGTGTGACCTTTCTACAAAATGAAAGTGCAAAAAATATGCACTTGATTTCCACACATACTTCAACTAATACATAACAACACGATGGTGAAGTAGGTGTCATGGTGAAGTAAAAGAATAGTAGAAAGGCCAGAATTAACTTTTGCTCCATTAATTGTGAATGTACATGCATTGATGATCAATTTATATATAGCAGGATTCTCTTCTTGAACAGAAACAAGAAGAAACATGTAGTAGGAATGCAACATTTCAATTCTTCCTAATAACTGAAAGAAAATATAGCATGGCATCCCACCATGCATCCCTGGTGCAATTATTCAAGCTCCAAAAACAAAAATTTCCTTGCGTTCCTACAAGAGATGAAATTAGTGAACATATTACTCGAGTAAACTATATTCTAAAGATTAACTTAACATAAATGCCTGCATCATGCCCTTTTCCTCTCCAGTTTCATTAGTATCCATTTCTCTTCGGCTTAACCGTGTTTTTCATCATTGAAGTGTCACTAAAACCAAGGTACAGATTCAGCAAACGGGAGGGCCATAGATTTCTCACTTCATACCGTAGACTGAAAAGGATGAGAAGAAAGAAGCAAGACATATTTGACCTCGCGGCAAAATAACTATAGCATTGTTGATGGGACCAAATGAGAGAACTTAACCATGAATTATATCTAACCAACATTTGTATATAACATTATACAAATTATTTTATTGTAGCAACTAGCAACTGAACAATTGGGATGCTATCAAGCATCTCAAACTGGGTTCTCATCAGGCGAGATACCAACGCACAAGGAACGTCCACAAGAATGGCCCTATAACAAGCCAAGCGCAAACAAGATCACAAGTTGGTGCAGCCAGTTCATTAATGCTAAGCTATCTCTACCATAGAGAATACATTCAATATTGTAACTGTTTATCCATAGATGCAGCTACATGGCTGTTTTGTGTTTAACATTCAGATTACAGTCATGATGATGCACTAAGATCCATGACTATTGGCTCTTTGGTTGCTGTCACCTTTTATCTCACACCGTTCCATCAAGTGCTATGGAGGATGCAATGGCAGGATAACATGGACAACCTTACCCTTGGATACGTGGTTTCTGCAGAAATTGCAATAGAGATTTTCTTATGTACCATATTACCAAACCTCCTCAGATGATACTAGTCATTTCAACTTTAACTATTGATATTTGATGACTGTGACTATAATCTGTTGCTGACAGGAAGCTTTGCAAATTACTTGACAAGGATAAAGTAAAACAAACAGACCAACCCCACATATATTTTACAAAAGAAATATTATACTACAATCAAGGACTTAACGGAAGCAAAACTTTTTGCAGACTCACATTTATGTTTCGAACTTGTTTAAAAAGTTAATTCAAAACAATGACATGTTAAAAAAACACAGTAGAAATATATATATATATATATATATATATANCAGCCACCAACCAGTCTCACCATTCACATTGAAGGTCCTCTGCTCACCATCTTTTCGGCAGTTACCGCACCATCGGCAATCATCCAAACCTCGTCACAACTGACAGTATCCTTTGTTTGACCATCCATTGTCTCCTATTGGTAACCTAAATAAATGTCCAACTCAATTCACAACAAACCACCTCTAGGATTTCACCATAAGGGCAAAGAAAGTTGGACAATCTGGGGAAGTCTCATCCAAGGTTCATTGGAAGGTATGTTTTGTTGGTTCCAAATTTGGCCATTCAATATTTGGTGCTCATTTTCTCCACGTGAGATTGATAAGAGTTTCTAAGGAAGCATAGGATCTCATCATCTTATCTCCAGTTAGGCTCATTTTAGTTCAATATCTCCGTTCATGTTATGGGGTGAGCTATTATTGTTTTCTACCAGTGGTGATTCACTTTGATGTTCGATTGATTGGGAACTCTGCACCCAAGCCTAGGATGTCAATTTAGTATTTATTTATTCACTCAATTTTGTTTGGTTCAATAGGCTATGCGCTTGTACTTCTTGCTTTGTAATCTCCCATTAAGCATTTGGTAGAAAAGGCATGGATCACAAACCTGTCCTAGAATTTGTTGTTTCCCAAGATATGCAAGCAAGGGGATTTCGGATGTCAACATGTAGTTTTCAAGATTTGCTTAAAGCATTTGAAGGATTAAGACATTCTAAATAGTGTAGTTGCATTTATTAGTGTTTTGAGATCAGTCTTATCTCAATAGTGTAGTAGCAATGGACATCATTGTCTGTTTTGATTTAGAAAAGGAAAAATTCCTTCCTTTTAAGCCTCTATAACCATATCTAATCATCAATTGTGGATCTCTTTGTAATATCACTATCAGTATAAATCAACTTTTTCCCAAAAAACGAACAAGATTACCCTAATTGAGTGACTTATTTCTCCTGCATCAATGCATAGAGTCCCATACCTGAAGATCGTTTATGTAACGTCCATGATGGTTTCCGCCAAATATATACATCTTATCATCCACAACAGCTGCTGCATGCTGCCAATTTTAAAACTATGCTCAGAAAAAGGTAAAATAAAAAGAAAGCTATGCTGTTAATTGTGGTGCTATAGCGGTGAAATAGCGGTTAGTGGTCCTAGAGAAAATAGCGGTCAGAAATAGCGGTGGAAAATAGCAGTTCCGCTAATAGCAGCGGTAATCACCGCAATTTTGACTTGCAATAGCGGTGTGAAAACCGCAATTAGGAGTTGGGCTAAGTTGGCCTTTTAAAGGTTTAGAGAAGTCAAGGGATTACGAGCTAGGGGGCTGATTTTCATTTGCAATATTGGTGTGCAAACTCGCTATTCCTCTCTCATCTCTTCTATTCCGGTCTATATTTTGCATCTTCTCTTCACAAGAACATTGTCTTCCAACATTGATTGCTCATCTCTTCTATTCACATGTTCTTATGTTCATCTTCAAAATATATATTATGTTATGAATCTATTCATACATTTATATATGATTGTAATGGTTACATGAACCGCTATATGGACCGTTATACCACCACTTTACCATCGCGATAACCGCTGTATCAAATCACAGTCCTGACCGTTATTTCAAATGTTGACAGTTGTAGCAGCATAGGAAGAAAAAACCAATTAACTAGATAGGAATTGAAAGGAAATTAATACCTCATAAGTGGGAATTGGACGTGGACCAGAAACCGGAGGGGCAACCCATTGGTCATATGCACCAACAGAACCAAGTCCTTCCACCATTACATCTTTGTCCTGAGTTTCCCCAGAATTCCCATTCTCGGAGGGGATGGTTTTCGTTTCAGGCAAAGCAACTTCACTCTTAGTGGGTAACCCGCCTTTGAATTATGCTACACCAGATGAAGAATATGAAAAGAGACTGGATTAGTTAATATTAGAGATGAGAATTACATTCACTACAAGAAAAAACATCCCCATGGTGTCTTAGCGCATCCTAACCTATAAGGTAGTAAGGCTCAGTTGTTTCATATTGAGCAATCATTTCTTTTCTCCTCCACACCCTCTCTCTACCGTGCAATGAAGGGTGGAATTCAGGTGATTTTAGTAAAGCAAGGAATTATTTGATCATTAAATAACCCAAATTCACACAGCAAGAGTAACCATATCCTATAGAGCAGATATTGACAAACCATAAACCAAACTGATCCAGTAAATCCCACTCAAAAGTAGGGTCCTGAAGGCATGAGATAGATGCAGATATGACATCTAGCCGAATAGGGTAGAGTGGTTGTTTCTGTGAAGACTGAAGACCCCCGGCTTATTCACAACCAAAACCTCTATGAATGGAAGGTGAAAAATGGCACCCGATGGTTCGATTTCATTGGGTTCTTTATATATCAAGATGTACCACAAAAAGAAAAATCATGACTCCAATAGAGAGAAACTAGGTGACTATTTGCATGATGCCACCATCTAATCAAATGGTTTATGGTAAGTTTCTTTTTCAGTGTGTGACCTTTCTACAAAATGAAAGTGCAAAAAATATGCACTTGATTTCCACACATACTTCAACTAATACATAACAACACGATGGTGAAGTAGGTGTCATGGTGAAGTAAAAGAATAGTAGAAAGGCCAGAATTAACTTTTGCTCCATTAATTGTGAATGTACATGCATTGATGATCAATTTATATATAGCAGGATTCTCTTCTTGAACAGAAACAAGAAGAAACATGTAGTAGGAATGCAACATTTCAATTCTTCCTAATAACTGAAAGAAAATATAGCATGGCATCCCACCATGCATCCCTGGTGCAATTATTCAAGCTCCAAAAACAAAAATTTCCTTGCGTTCCTACAAGAGATGAAATTAGTGAACATATTACTCGAGTAAACTATATTCTAAAGATTAACTTAACATAAATGCCTGCATCATGCCCTTTTCCTCTCCAGTTTCATTAGTATCCATTTCTCTTCGGCTTAACCGTGTTTTTCATCATTGAAGTGTCACTAAAACCAAGGTACAGATTCAGCAAACGGGAGGGCCATAGATTTCTCACTTCATACCGTAGACTGAAAAGGATGAGAAGAAAGAAGCAAGACATATTTGACCTCGCGGCAAAATAACTATAGCATTGTTGATGGGACCAAATGAGAGAACTTAACCATGAATTATATCTAACCAACATTTGTATATAACATTATACAAATTATTTTATTGTAGCAACTAGCAACTGAACAATTGGGATGCTATCAAGCATCTCAAACTGGGTTCTCATCAGGCGAGATACCAACGCACAAGGAACGTCCACAAGAATGGCCCTATAACAAGCCAAGCGCAAACAAGATCACAAGTTGGTGCAGCCAGTTCATTAATGCTAAGCTATCTCTACCATAGAGAATACATTCAATATTGTAACTGTTTATCCATAGATGCAGCTACATGGCTGTTTTGTGTTTAACATTCAGATTACAGTCATGATGATGCACTAAGATCCATGACTATTGGCTCTTTGGTTGCTGTCACCTTTTATCTCACACCGTTCCATCAAGTGCTATGGAGGATGCAATGGCAGGATAACATGGACAACCTTACCCTTGGATACGTGGTTTCTGCAGAAATTGCAATAGAGATTTTCTTATGTACCATATTACCAAACCTCCTCAGATGATACTAGTCATTTCAACTTTAACTATTGATATTTGATGACTGTGACTATAATCTGTTGCTGACAGGAAGCTTTGCAAATTACTTGACAAGGATAAAGTAAAACAAACAGACCAACCCCACATATATTTTACAAAAGAAATATTATACTACAATCAAGGACTTAACGGAAGCAAAACTTTTTGCAGACTCACATTTATGTTTCGAACTTGTTTAAAAAGTTAATTCAAAACAATGACATGTTAAAAAAACACAGTAGAAATATATATATATATATATATATATATACAGAGAGAGAGAGAGCTTCAAACGAGAAGTCGGTCAACTTGCGAGAAAGACCAAATTACATGTAATAATAGGTGATACAAACATGTCATGTTGATCGGCGATCATAAGTGTGACTTCTCCCACGACCTTGGTGGCGTTGACCAAGTCGCCCGCATCCTCATCACATGTGGTTTTACTCTATAAGCACATATGATCCGGCCCTTCTCACACTTCTCACAAATTGACCGACTTCTCACATGACCCTCCATATATATGCATACAAAATAATACAATGTGAGAAAATTATGTATGAATAACTTATTCTGGGTGCAATTGTATGCTATTTTAATTTATAAAATTATTGTAACACAAAGAATCATGGGTCGAATTTGTATACAACTAATAAATACAAAGGATATGCAAGTCCAGAATAAGAAATATAGTTGGAATGTTTTATTTGGTGCTAAAAATAGGGTAACGGATTGGAGATAAATTGCAATTTACAGCAAAATTTACTGTATTTTGGTGCAAAAAATGATGCAAACGATTGGAGATGGTCTCAGAACCGCCTTACATGAAAAAGTGATCACCATGTTGCAACTTGCAGACCACAGCTAAGGTGTGTGCCACACTGCCACTCTGAAGTCGTTGTGTAGTCGAAAGTTCTTTTTGTTGAAGATCATTACTTTTACCTGGTGTGGAATGATAAGGGGTTGGAGTCTGGTTAAAGAAAGCAAATGGACAACGTGATTTAGGAGAATAATCGTAAATGCATGATCTTCTGACAGATTTAAGAACGCATCTTCCTAACACAAGTATGTCTCAAAATCTGTTAGAAGGTTGCACATTTAAAAAAAATCTATCTGAAGGCTATTCTCCTAAATAACCCGTCTTCTGAAGCTACTATATCCATAGCTAATTTGCTATTTCCTTTTACGAACCATTGTGATTAGAGGGTGCCTAGGTGAGAGGGGTGTTAACAGGAGCCAGCTTTACTTCCCTGCTAACACATAAGTTTAGAGATTACATTGTGATGGTCTATCATTCCACATCATGAAAGAGTAAAGATAAAATCCATACAGCATAACTAAATCTCCAAATTTTTCAACAATGCCAAGAAAATTATTGAAATTCAATATAGGTATTTTGATGATTGAACGCAGACAGAATAATGTTGAAGCAATTCGAATGAATTTAGAACATATAGGCAATCAAATTATTGAAGATACAAAATGATTTCATCTATCGGTTCAAGGTTAAGATTCAAGAGGTTGATAGTCAGCACACGCCCATTTTAATGTTAATTGGTAGTTGGGATTTGGGAATATAAAAAACTGTATATGTTAAGTTGCAGGCTTCTGGCATTATGGTTTGTTGATTTGATATGGGTATTGTAATATTACGTAGCTTATGCTTTAATTACCCTATTTTGAGGGATTAGAGCATTGATCGGGTATTCTAGGAGTTAGCCCATATGTTAGCATCTCTTATAAGTATATGCTTTAATTACCCTATTTTGAGGGATTAGAGCATTGATCGGGTATTCTAGGAGTTAGCCCATATGTTAGCATCTCTTATAAGTAGGGATTTAGGTTCACCCAAAATAAACACATACAATTATTAATCCGTCATCAATGAGAGAGGGCTAACTAAAAGATCAAGTCTCTTAAAACATCAAGCATAAGTTATAAGACATATCACATCATCTTCTCCCAATTCATGCAAGTTTTTTACATATATCCTCAATTTAGTTTTTTTGGTCATCGCTTACTAGTACATATGACATAACATTCTTTGCACATACTTCTATATACAATGTTAACGACTTCCTAAAATACTAATGTAGTGATATTTGAACAACAAATTTCTCTACTTCAACTCATGTATTTATACGTGATTTTTTGGTCCAAGCACATAGCGAAACATTGCGGTAATTGGTATATAAACACTAAAGAGAACCAAAGATGATGAACTTTTACTCACCTGACACGGAGTCCAACATAATAAAGGTTCATGTTCACCAATAATCTTGGCATGAACAGGCGCCATCTTGGAAATGGTGGAACCGCTTAGCATCACGTATGACAATATCCTTATTTTTGATGCTTGAAACAAGCTTCATATATTCATGGCAGTCTCCACATATTCTGAGATTCTTAAATATTCTAACCATCTTATTTGAGTTGTTGTTGATAAGGGAAAAGGCAAGAGCCAATCTTTCACTATGATGGGAAAGAATTTTTCGTTTTTCTCTGTCAGGGACATTGTGAAGCACATAATCTGTATTTGGAATATAGCCTACTGAAAAAAGGCATTCTTCCAGTTCTTCCAACTTTTTGTGGATTTCAAGTATCCTCATGTGAGAAGTATCTTGAGACAAGAAGACATGGGTTTGGTTATCAACCTCAACCCAACTGCACCCAGGTTCCTTTTTGATCTCCTGATGCGACATTGATGCCCTAATATGTGCAACTTCATCCCACATCCCTTTGGCTGCAAATATGTTGGATAACATGATATAATTAGAATCTACTTCCGGCTCAATCTGAAAAAGTTTCTCTGCAACTCTTTGGCCAAGTTCCACATTTCCGTGAACCTTACAAGCTCCGAGAAGGGTCTCCCAAATCAAATTATTAGGAGTCAACTTCATTTGATTAATCAAGCTTTCAACCTCATTAAATTTGCCAGCCCTGCCAAGAATATCGACCATGCAGGCATAGTGCTCAATGCTCAGAGAAATTTCATAAACTTCACTCATGGAGTTAAAATGTTCCCTCCCCACTTCTATCAAACCCAAATGGCTACATGCTGAAAGTATGCCAATGAAAGTAACTCCATCTGGCAACACACCTTTAGTTAACATACTCTCAAAAGCCAGAAGAGCTTTCTCTCCCTCCCCATGTTGTGAGTACTGATTAATGATTGTGTTCCACAAAACTGTATCATGTGATTCCATCGCCTCAAAGATCATCTCAGCATCATCAATGCACCCACACTTCCCATACATATCTACAAGTGCACTTGCAACAAATGGATCATCAACATGGCCATCTTTAATTACAAAAGAATGCAGCTGTGTCCCATTTTTTAGGCTCGCAATCCCAGAACAACCTCTCAAACAGCCAGCAAGAGTGAACTCATTGGGTTTAACACCATCCTTGCGCATCTGACTGAAGTAGTGAATGGATTTCTCCCCTTGATCAGTCTGTGCACAGCCGGCAATAATTGTTGTCCAAGTGAAAAGGTCTATCTCGTTCAACCTATTAACAATCTTTTCCGCATCTTCCATGCATTTGGACTTGACGTACATGTCAATCAGAGCTGTTCCCACATAACAATCACTACCAAGGCTGTCTTTGATAACTTGTGCATGCACTTGCTTCCCAGCCTCACTATTTGGGAGGCTAGAACAAGAACGTAAAGTACTGATAAATGTATACATGTTCGGCTTGAAACCATCTACTAGCATCTCCCTATATATTCTTAATCCATCACAGCTTTTGCTGTCGTGGAATCCTGATAAAAGCCCATTCCATGAAACTAAATCCCTTTGACTCATTGCATTGAAGATTTTGAAGCCATCATCAACAGATCCATTCTTCATGTACATTGTGATTAATGCATTACAAACTACAGTTTCATGTGCAAAACCATACTTGTAAACACAAGCATGTAGACACTGAGAAAAAGATATGTCACCTAGATCTTTGGCAGCACTAACAATGCTTGTAAGGGTAAACTGATTCGGTCTCAATCCTAACGACATCATCATGCAAAACAACTCGGCTGCCTTTCCTTCCCTTCCTTGCTGCTCAAGGCAACAAATCATGGCACTCCATGTCACGATGTCAGGAGATTTTATCCTCCAAAACACTTTAAGTGCATCATCTGCCAGCCCACATTTGGAGTACATGTCAACAAGGCTACAACTCACAAATTCCTCATCTTGACACCCACTTACAATTGCCATTCCATGCACAAGCTGGCCTGTTCTTAAATTTCCAGAACTGGCACACCCTTTGAGAATAGTGCACAATGTATACTTGTTAAACTTCATTTCAGCCTCTTTCATTCTACAAAATAACCGCAAAACCTTTTGATCATCACCCACCAGAGCAAACCCATTAAGCAACGAATTCCACGAGACTGCATTTTGTGCAGGCAAATTATGGCACACCTTCTCTGCATATTCTAGCTCACCGCATTTAGCATAAAGGTCGACGAGAGCAGAACCAACATGCCCATCCGAAAAGAACCCAGATTTAACAATCTGGCCATGTAACTGCCAGCCAAACTCAACATTCAAACACACGCAACAAGCTTTCAGAACAGTGGCTAAAGTAAACTCATTGGGTCTAATGCCGTCTTCAAGCATCTCACGAAACAACACAACGCCTTCTATACCGCATCCCTCACCTACAAAACCACTCATAAGAGCTGTCCAAGACACCACATCTCTTTGGGGCATATCAGCTAACACCTGGCGGGCGACACTCAAACACCCACACTTGGCATAAAAATTAATCAGCGACACCCATAAATGAGAATCTAACTCGATATCACTTCCCATAATCTGCTTATGGATGGCTTTACCCTCGTTTACAGACCGATTTGCCGCACAATCACGCAGTTTTTCCGAATAGCGTCTTAGCTTCTCTTTATCCCACTTGCTAGGAGCGTTTTTCCTTTTAATGGGCGAATGTGATTGAGCTGTAGATGGGGTAAGTTGCAAAGAAGTGAAGTAGGAAGAAATGAATAAGTTGTTCCTATAAGGATGATGAGGGTTGACGAAACGAGTTCTAGAGAAAGCGTTGAAGGAGAGACTTTTTAGAGGAGTTGGTGAACGACGATGCATCTTTAGACGTGGGAATTGAGGAAAATCCATTCAATCGAACATGGAACGAGGAGGAGATACACACCAACTGCAGATGTGTCTAGAACAGGAACCAGTTGCTGCGATTCCTAGTGACGCAATCCAGGGCGCGCTGCCGCTCGAATGTAATCCCCGCCAATCAAATGTATTTTCAATGCAAAGGCCTTGGCAAAAAGGTGTAAGAATTATTATTGCATAAAAGAGAAAAATAAAAAATATATATAAAGTTTATTTGTTAAATCTAATTAATTTGTGGTAATTGTAAAATTTAATATGAGCCAATTATTTTATTATATTAATTGTATTATTTTAATTAAGAAAAATGATGTATTAGTAATTTTATTAATATTTTTTTCTTAATGGTTATCAATCAAAGAAATTGATACTATTTCCTTATTAATCAAATAAATTATGGAAGTTTCTTTCTATGAAGTTACAATTGAGAAAATAAATATATAATTTCTTACTGTTAAAAGTTATTGGGTATCACAGTGGTATTACAGTTGTATTCATCAACCAAATCTGGTATCATAGTGTAACAACCCACATATTCTATGTAGTGATAATCCACATCATCATACTCATAACACAAAATATAACATCGTTTACAAAATACAAATTAACAAAATACTTTTTTCATATACATTTTGAATAACTAAACGTCATTCATTCTAAACTTTTCCCTTGTCTTTATCTTGCGAGGTATGATGACCTGCAAAACAGGTTAGTCCAACAACTGAGCGTTAGACCAAAAAGGTCTAGTGAGTATATAATTCTCAAACGAACAATATACTTTCCAAACAACCAGTTCAGAATCAAATTTGTTCTGACACATAAATTTATTTATGTCTCTCGCGGTTACACCGCCATTGCATCTCTCTCGCTGTTACACCGCCATTGCATCTCTCTCGCGGTTACACCGCCATTACATCTCTCTCTCGCGGTTACACCGCCATTTCATCTCTCTCGCGGTTACACCGCCATTTCATCTCTCTCGCGGTTACACCGTCATTACATCATTCTCTCGCAGTTACACCGCCATTACATCTCTCTCGCGGTTACACCGCCATTTCATATCTCTCGCGGTTACACCGCCATTTCATCTCTTAAATACTTCAAAAATATTTCAACATATTATCCGCATTTGAAGTCCGGTCAACCTTGTCCGGTTAACACTTAAAATTATTTCTAACATATTTGTCCGGATAACAAATCCGGACAATACGCCTGTCCAAAGCTTAACCGATTTAACACTTAGAAATATTCCAATTTCTATCCGGATAAGAGTCCGGACAATACATTGCCCAACCTTTGACCGGTTTAAAACAATCCGGTCAATACACCGCCAAACTCTTGAACGGTTTAGATGAGATCCGGTCACCTCTTGACCGGTTTAGGGAGGACTCCGGACAACACTTGAGCAGTTTAAAATAAACCGGTCACCTCTTGAGCGGTTTTCTATCCGGATAAGATTGTCCGGATATTAATCCGGTCACCACTTAAACGGTTTAAATAAGAATCCACATAAAATGAAACAGAATTCATAATAACCAGTTCCAAATACTACTAAATTGTATATAAACAATTTATATCCAAAGCTTTAATACACTCACCTTTTGAAATCGAATATCCAGGCTTTTGGATTCTTTTCTTGCAATTCTATGGAATCTCAAAGAAAGCTTTCTAAATACAGTGTGTGTGTAAAAAACCTTTCATCTTCTCCACTTTCTATATATATATATTGAGGAAAGGTGGTGGGCGGCACAACAAGCCGACCTCCCCCCTTTTTCTTTTTAAAAAAAAAATTTTAATCTCCAAATATATATATATATAAACATAACACACACACATACCTATACACACACACACACACACACATATATATATATATATATATGTTAAAGAAATCTTAAATCAAAACTTGAAACCCGAATATTACACATAGTGTGTATCACAATATATTTTTGTCGTTATACGAAGTGTACTACAATATATTTTTGTTGTGTTTACGAAGTGTAACATAATATATCGGTAATATTTTCTTTACCAAGTGTATTACACTGTATTTTTTTCATTATTTTATGAAGCGTATCACAGTGTGTATCATGTGTTGATATGGTCTTCGTTGGAGAGAGGGAAGATGTTTGACGGAGATAGTTGAGATGAGAGACAGGAGAGAGGAGGGAGGAGGGAGGAGGGAGGAGGGAGGAGGGAGAATAAATCTAGAATGACTAAAATGTCTTTCATTAATATTTTAAGTTAAAACTACAAAATTATTAATTTCTTAATTTAATATTTGATTTGTGGTTGAGATTGAATCTCACGTTTACCACAAACTAATCAGTTCTTCCTTGAATGGGTCCATATATATATATATATATATATATATATATATATATATATATAGAGAGAGAGAGAGAGAGAGGGGGGTACGTTCAAATGAAAACTGTGCAATTCTTAGAAACCGTGTAAACTAATTTCGACCAATAGGAAAATTCTATTTTTTCTAATTAAATTTAATTATTAAGGGTATATTGGTCATTTGCATTTTTCTATTAAATATGGAAGTTATTAATAAATTTTAATTAAGGTAACATAATAAATGAAATTTTATAAATGGTAACATTTAAATATTTAATTAAATTATAATATTAAAAATTGGATTTATTTACATTGTTTCTCGGTTTATTATTGCCAAGATTCATGAAAATCGAAAATATTTGATTAATAAATTCATTGAAATCAGTAATAGAATCAAAAAAAAATATTCATGAAACCAGTTTCATACATGGTGAAATTGGTGTACGGAGTAAGTGAAAATGATTATGAAATTGGTGCATGATGAAATAAGTGCATGATAAAATGGGTGGTGCATGAAATGGATGCATCATGAAATGAGTGCATGATGATATGGGTGCTGTAATTTCATTATCAATAGCGTGAAATGACAAATGACTCATCAAACCATGCTGGCCGATGTAATAGGTGATTGAAGAAAGTGAAACCATTTCATGGTTTCTAAGAAAATTTTGTGTAATTAGTGAAAATGAAGCAATTTCATTATCAATAGCGTGAAATGACAAATGACTCATCAAACCATGCTGGCCGATGTAATGGGTGATTGAAGAAAGTGAAACCATTTCATGTTTTCTAAGAAAATTTTGTGTAATTAGTGAACAATGAAACCATTTCATTATCAATAGCGTGAAATGACAAATTACTCATCAAACCATGCTAGTCGATGTAATGGGTGATTGAATAAAGTGAAACCATTTCATGGTTTCTAAGAAAATTTTGTATAATTAGTGAACAATGAAACTATTTCATTTGATGAAATTGTGAAACCATTTCGTTCATGAAATGTGGTAGTAAATTTTTTTATTATTATTGTTCAAAAGGTTTCATTATGTTAAATTGATTAGAGTGTGTTTTATTTTTATTGTTGATCTATTTTAATGATGGATGTAATTTTATTTATAATATTTAAACATAAAATTAATATATTATTTTACAAATGATTTTATTTCATTAATATTACGATATACATGATATGGTTGTCATTAATATTACCACTATCAAAGTTACCATTTTCCCCTTATAGGGATTATAAAATAAATTTTTATTTATTTATTTATTTTTTAATTTTTTTAATATAACGTAAACTAATCTTGACCATTGATCAAGAAAATAGATTGATGAGATTGGTTTACATGGTTTATACAAATGAGGGCGGTTTTCATTTATTCGCTCCTCTCTCTCTCTCTCTCTCTCTCTATATATATATATATATATATATATAGTTTGCTTCAAATACAACCTGTTGCATTTGTACAACCAATGCAACCCAATAAATTRARATATTTATGGAAATGATRAGAGTTYATTTATTATGATTTGAATATTTATGGAAGATGAATATGGTTCATTAATTATGATCAATACTTTATATTAAGAAACAATCAAAACTTTTATAAAATCATATATTAATCAAATGAAATGGATGGATGGGATTGAGTTGTATTGGTTGCACAAATGTCAAGGGTTGTATAATAACCAATATATATATATATATATATATATACACTATATTATAAAGCATTTGACTAAAACTCTTAAAAACTCTTAAAACTATTAAAACTCTTAAAAAATCTTAAACCCTTCCCATATCTGAATTCGTGTAACT